TGCCCAGCACCGTGTACTGAAGAGACTTTCCTTTCTCCATTGTATGCTCTTGGCTGCCTTGTCGAAAATTAGCTGTCCATACGGGACGTCATCTCTGAGGCCCAGTCAGGAAGGATGGGGCGGGCACGTATCCAGGGACGCGAGACGCAAAGGGCCTCCTTTGGCCACAGCAGGAGCTCCTTCCCGGGAACAACTGGACACTCGGCTGCCCCCTCCAGGCTGGCGCCTGCCACCACCTGAGCCACCAGAGCCCAGCACGGGGCTACCTGACACCGTCATTGAGGAAAAGGGGTGCGCCTTGTCAGCCTGCACCTCCACAATGTGGCCCACACCACTCCACTCCACTCCCTGCCCCCACCCACTTCACTGGCAGCATGGGGGAAGGTGGGAGGGGAGGGGAGGGACCGTGCCTGTGTGCAGAGGGAGGTCACTCCCACCTCAGGCAGGGCAGCTGCCCTGCCCCCACCCCTGCCCCTGGGGAGGAGAGGGAATGGGGGCAGGACTGAGCCACTGGCTGGGGACGCTGGAGGTCGGGGAGCATCCTGCGGCCAGGGCCTGGGTGGGGACTCACACGGCACTGGCGCTGAACGGGCTGGCTGCCGTGATGAGAAAGAGCTTCCTGCCCGTGTGCCCGGGGCTGCACAACTCCCTGGGACCGCCACCAGGGCCGCAACCTCCTCTGCAAAGGGCAGAGAGCACACACCGTGGGCTTTTCGGGCCACACAGGGGCTCTGTTGCATATTCTTCTCCCTTTCTCTGGAATTTTGTGTGTTTTGTTTGCAACCCTTTAAAGACGGAAGAGCCACCCTCTGCCCTTACAAACACAGGCTTAGGCAAAGGACGTGTTCCTGAGGCGCTCGTGCCGGACCAGGAGTCCCACACCCAGGTTCAGGAGCAAGGAGGCTCCTCAGAGCCTTCTCATTCGCCGTGAACGGAAACAACCTATGCCCTGGTGGGTTCCAGGGCTGACCCATGCGACCCATAAAAGTACAGCAGAGGCGAGCGGGTGTCACTTAGAGACGAAGTTATAAAAAGACTGCAGCTTCGACCTTGGGACCGCCCTCCCCGGCTCTGTCTCTGCTGGATCACTGGCTCTGGGGGAGCCCTGCCCTGAGCAGCCCTATGGAGAGGCCCCGCAGGGAGGCACAAGGCCCCTACCACAGCCACGTGAGTGATCTTGGAAGCAGAGTCCACCCCCGGCAGACCAGATGGCTGCGTCCCCAGCTGGTGTCTTGACCGCAGCCTGTGAGAGACCCTGAGCCAGAACCTCCCAGCCAAGCCCTCTAGGAGCCTGTCCTTCAGACACCTGGGAGATCACAAGTGGTAGCTGTGCTAAGGCGCGACGTTTGGGCTCATCTGTTACGCAGCAATGGGTAACTCACGCACGACTTCAAATGGAGAAGGCCACTCTAAGTAAGTCTGAAGCAAGCAGGCCGAGGAGAAACTCCAGAAGCCATTAGGAAAAGCCTGCAAAGTCTGACGACATGAAAACTAAAATCGCCTGCCTGACCAAATGCAAACCCCAAACCACAAAGTCAAGAGACAAGTGACAAAGTGGGGAAAAAATAGCAGCAAGATGTGACTCAGGGCTCATATCATTAACGTATGGAGAGCTTGAACCAGTCGACACGGAAAAGCCCGGTGACCCCTTAGGAAAAGGAGGTCGAGGAGGGGAACAAGGAAAAGCAAAGCCAAAGGCCACTCCACCATTTGACCCCACAGCCAGAAGAGGCTCCGGTGCTGGGGCCGCACAACCGCTGGCTCCAGGGACAAATGGTGACTTGCACCCGTGACTGGCACTGCATTTCACCTGCTGCTCCAACTGGACGACAGGCCACGGTGGAACCGAACAAAGACCGATCACAGCAAAGACTGGCCAAAGCCCGGGGAGCACGGAGCAGGGCGGGGGTGCCACGGGGCCCTGAGCGGGTCTGGGCAGCCTCACCCAGGAGCTGGGAGACCATCTTGGTGAGGACCATTTAGCAGGAAAGGCGGCGGCTTCCCAGCAGCTCAAGAGCCGGCCACCTCCACCGACCAGACAACTGTCAGGGCAGTTCCCAGGCAGACAAGGTCCTTTCTGGCCTCCCTGCTCTCGCAAACGCACGTTCTCGGTCTCAGGGCCCATGTTCCTTTGCCACCCGCGAGCCCGGCGTTTGGGTCTTTCCTCTGCCTCATCAGAGAGTTCTTTCCCTCCCCACTCCCAGGCACAAATCTCATCTCCTGATCTCCGTCCCTCCCTCCCACCTGTCCGGATTGTTATCCGTGCAAGCCTGACGCCTTTTCCCCCGGGCTGTGGACGGCGGCGCCCTCCAGCGGCGGCATCCAGGCAGGGACGGGTGACTGCTGCTCCATGGGAAGCCCCGGATCTCCCGAGGGCTGGCACTCCGCTGGCGTTTCCCGGACCTGTCGGGACCCTGCAAAGGAGGCAGCCCCGGGTAGTGGAGGGGGCACACACCTAGGAATCTCGGGCCTCCAGAGCGGTGCTTCTCACGGGAGGGTCGGTTCTAGACCAGCAGCACCCGCACCACCCGGGAGCTTGTTGGAGCCATCAGTTCTCAGGCCCCACCCCAGATCTGCAAGATCAGAGACTCTGGGGTGGGGCCCGGGGACCCAGGTTTGAACAAGCCCTCTAGGTGTTCCCACGCACCCTCCAGCGTGAGAAGCACCGGGATGGCTGGTTCCTGGTCGCACTCACTTCCAGAGAAGCCAGGAGCTTTCTCTGCGGGGCTCACCTGGACCTCCCCAGGGGAGAGGCAGGCAGGCAGGCACAGCTGACGGCTGCGACCACAGGCCGTCCTGGGTACAGGGGTGCTTGGGCAGGAGTCCCTCCCAGTGGGCCACACTGTCCAGTGGCACGGGGAAGACTCTTTTACCTTCCCGCCGTCCCCACCTCTAAAAGCACAGACAGACACTTCCGGCAGACACCACGTCCCCGGGTACCGGCCCCAGCTCTGCCCACCTCTCCCTGGATACTACGCTGTGGTTGGCGGGAGGGGGGCGGATCCACGCTTTACAGAGAACCGTCCTGAACACACGCGGGAGGCGCTGAAACAGTGGGCCGGGCAAGGAGTGTGCGTGTGCGCGTGCGTGCGGGGCCGGGGGCGGGGGCCACAGTCTGGGCCCTGGGAGGGTAGAAGCTCCCGGGAGCGCGGAGCGAGACAGCTCTCCGAGGCCAGGACTGGGCGCAGCGGGAGAGGGAGTGACTGTGCCCTTTCCCATCCCCGGGGGAGTCGCCGCCCTCTCCCCCCCCCCCAGGTCCCTGGGGACCCCGACACACTGTCCCTGGCCGTCTAGAGGGCCAGCCACCCTTAGGGTGGTGGGGGGCGTCCTGCCGGGAGCGGCGCCCGACGGAGCCCCCACGGTCTCTCGGGGCCTGGACTCAGTGGAGGCTTCTCCTCGGCCTCTCCCCGGGAGAGTCTTGGGGAACGAGGACTCTGGCGAGACACACGCCCCAGAGGGGCGGGGGGCGGGGGGGGGTGGCGAGCGGGCCGGGTCGTCGTCCGGGCGTGTCGGGCCCCGCCCTGGCCACCCCCACGCCCATCTCCACATCCCCCGCCCCTCAGCTCGCCCACCGGAAGGCCCGCTCCACCGCCCTGCTCCGCCCCACCCTTTCCGGCTGGCCCCGCCAATGACCAGGCTCGGCTTGTGACGGGACGCACCCACAAGGCCCCCGAGGAAGCGCAGCGCCTCTGGCCTGACGGACACTCCTTCTGCCCAATCAAAACAAGCCGGCCGCGTGCGCGCCTCTCGGTTCCGCCCCCGCGCGCTCCCCGCGGGGACATCCGGCCTGGCGGGCTGCGGGGGTCCTGGACGCGCCCGCGGGGCGAGCGGGGACTCTCCCTGCCGGGTCGCGCCAGTCGTCCTGTCTGTACAGGCTAAGCCCTGCCTGTGTGCTTTTCGTGTGAGCGTGTAGTTTGAAGTGATTACATTCACAGGAACTTACATAAGAAACACGTCCGAGAGGCGGGGGCCCCTCCCGCGGTTCCCCCGGTGTCGGCGTCTCGCGCATCTGGTGCCGTCGCACACCAGGAAATGGCACTGGTGCCATCCGAGCGCTGCTCCGGGTTTCGTCCGTGGGTGGGTGTGGGTGGGTGCGCGCGTGCTCTGTGCAGTTTCACCACCCGTGTAGATCCTGGATAAGTGACCCCCCGCGGCCATCAATGACCAGCTGGTTCCCTCGCAGGGATCCCTCCTGTTGACCTTTCATAGCCACAGCCTGCCCGCGTCCTCCTCTCAACCCATGGCACCAGTATTGGATTCTCATCTCTAGAACTGTCAGTTGAAGACTGTTACATAAATGGAACCATGCAGTATGTGACCTGGGGTGGGCCTTTTTTTCCCCCACTCACATAATGCCCTTGAGATCCATCCAAATTGTTGCATGTATCAACAGTCAGTTCTGCCTTTGTGTCGCTGGCTACGGTCCTTGGTGCGGATCTACCACAGTTTGTTCAAGCATTCCCCCACTGAAGGACATGTTGCTTGCTCCCAGTAAATAAAGCGGCTGTGAACATTCGCGTGCGGGTTTTCCTGTGATGGTTAAGTTTCCATTTCTCTGACATAAATGCCCAGGACTGCAATCGCTGGGTCCTATGGAGGTGGATGTCTAGCTTTAGAAGAAACTGCCAGACTGCCTTTCACAGAGGCTGTACCAGTTTACATTACCACCTTGCATATTTTTAAAGCACACAGTTGAAAATTTTCCCTTGAAATCAGACTAGGCTCGCTGGTTTGGGTGGTCAAGAAGTAATACAGGGGCCGGCCTGGTGGCGCAGCGGTTAAGTTCGCACGGTTCACTTCTCAGCAGCCCGGGGTTCGCCGGTTCGGATCCCGGGTGCGGACATGGCACCGCCTGGCAAAAAGCCATGCTGTGGTAGGCGTCCCACGTATTCAGCAGAGGAAGATGGGCATGGATGTTAGCTCAGGGCCAGTCTTCCTCAGCAAAAAGAGGAGGATCGGCAGTAGTTAGCTCAGGGCTAATCTTCCTTAAAAAAAAAAAAAGAAGTAATACATTGTTATATGACCAAATTTATCAAACTCTCCATTGACGATTTCTGGCTTGCGTATCCTGGGCGCAAAGGCCTCTTCCCATGTGTGACTAGAGTGAGGAGACTCGGGGCGGAATTTCTGAGTCTCCATTGCCAATTCCTCGTTGACTCAGGCTGGCAGGCCCGCCTGCCGGCCCAATCTCTGTGGCCTGGGAGGCGGGGTATTGGGCACATGACTCAGTGCTGCCTAGGCCAGGATTGGGGGCGGTGCCTCTCCGACACCCAGTCCCTGCCCTCCAAGGATGCCCGTCCAGTTTGGGAGAGAGACAAGGAAATATGTAATGAGAAGAGTTTAGTTACATTATTCAAATGCCTAGGTGGCCCACAGGTAAGTGAGGGAAATCCCTGGGGAAACAGAGCCAATGAAAACACAGGGCTGAGGCGGGGAAGGCTGGGGCTCAGGCCCCTCGAGGAGCTGCCGGGCTGGGTTTCCAAGGCGCTCGGGGATCACGGGCCTCAGAAGGTGAGAGCAGAACTGAGATCCCACCTAAAACCAGTGCTCTTGAAGGGTCACCTCCTCGGCAAAAAGGAAGGACAGAGATCTAAAAAGAAGTTGAGGGGCCACCCCGGGGCCTAGTGGTTAAGTTCCGCTCGCTCCACTTCGGCACCCGGGTTCAGTTCCCCGAGCGCAGACTTACACCACTCGTCGGCAGCCATACTGTGGCAGCGGCCCACATACAGAATAGAGGAAGATTGGCACAGACGTTAGCTCAGGGTGAATCTCCCTCAAGCAAAAAGAGGAAGATTGGCAACAGATGTTAGCTCAGGGCCAATCGGCCTCAGCATAAAAAAGAAAAAAAAAAAAAGAAGTGGGCCCATCTGAACATGGGTCTGAGTGAGGAGACAAAGAACTCCTCTCCACCCCCCACCCGCCCCCGCCAGCATCCACGACCAGGGGCTGCCTTCCCCCCTCACCGCCACAGCCAGAGGGGCTTCAGCGAACCCCTGGTTGAGAGAGAAACTGCCCCTCATCGTGGTTGTACTGCTGGGCTCCTCACCCCAGGCTTCCCACCCAGGACTCCCAGAGGCCTTACTGAAGATGGGTCAGCAACCTCAAACTGAAGACACCGCCCACCCTCATGGAGAACCAGCAGGTCTGTCAAAGAGAAGACTGGCCCTGTCCACGTTCCCAGGGTGTAACTGTCAGAGGCCAGATAACATACTTTTCGGTAATGGCCCTGAGCGTTTGCTACGTGCCTGGACTCACCCATCCCATCCTCATGGCAGCCCTCGGGGTTGGTAGCAGCATTATCCCCATTCTCCAGATGGGGAAAATACGACACAGAAGGGTTGAGTAGCGTGTTCTGAATCACTAGCCAGCAAGTGGCCGAGGCAGGGTGGAAGATCAAGGATGCTGGGTTCCAATCCCAATCCCCTTTTGTGGGCTATGCTCTACAGCCTGGCTCGCTCCCTCACTTGGAGATTCCTGGGGCGTGCGTGTGGCACATCAGTACGTCCTGAAGGTGTCAGAGGTGACCCCAGGTGAATGTCCCCCAGGCCTTAGGCCAGCACATCACCAAGGGAGGAGGTGAGATAAAGAACCACCTTCCACTCTTGTGCTTAATCAGGGGGGACTTTGAAACACAGAGTGACATTATCGTTACAAATGTGCTATTGTGATATAAAGCTACTCCAACTCCCCAACGCTTCAGTAGCCTCTGAGACACAACAAAAGAAAGACACAAAAGAAGGAATTTAAAAGTTCAGAATAATTTTTAAAGCTCAGGCAGATTTGAAAAAGAACAAGAACTTTAGAAGTAAAAAAAAAAACTCGTCATTGAAATAAAAATCTCAACGGATGGATTAAACCACAAATAGATGCCACTGAAGAAAGAATCAGTGACCTGGAAGATGGAGCCTTGGAAATTACCTCCTGCCCCCTTCCCCCTCGTAGCTGCTGATGTTGGTTCCTCCTTCCCTGAGAAACTGCAGCAGCACCCCCTCAAAGATCCAGGCTCCGGCTCTTCAATGCCCCTCCATCCTGGCTTCTAGGCCTCTTTCCTTCTTCCTCTCGCTCTAGGGGCGGCAGCTTCTTCCTGTATTATCCCTGTCACTTCAGCCCTCCAATCCCTGGGTAACCAACTGCTCTTATTCAATCCCCTCTGTTGAGAATCTCTGTATATTTTTTGTACCCTGACCCATGTCTGACCGACAGAGAATGGGTACTATGAGTGGTCCCAGAAGACAGAATTTTGGGATTCGTCTGGTTGTGCTTCCCTTGGGCTGGAGTGCAGGGCAGGGCTGAGCTCCTCACCAGTGGGAAGTGGGGGTGTGAGGCACCCGTGGCCTGCAGGGACCCCAGGATTCATCAGGCTCTCAACCTGTGGTTGATTGGGGTGAAGGGCCAACTGCAGCAAGTGCCTGGGGAGCTGGAGCGGCTGCTGCCCTGGACTGTCGTGGCGGTAACGACGGCTATGAAGACTATGGTGTGGGATGATTCCCGAGTGCACCTGAGAGCGTGCAGAGAAAAAATGAAAGGCTCGGGTTCCTTACCTCTCAGCTCAAGTCACAGTATGACAACCAGAGAACTTCCATGACAGCCCTAAAACCTCTCTTGCTTCCTGTACTGCAGGGCTGACAGTGCTGAAAATCCAACGCAACGTTCAATTGTGAGGGTCACAGGATCCCAGTGTCAGTTGAATTCCCAGCCTCTCCACGTTCCTCATGTGAAAGGCCGGGCAGCGGTCAGAGGAGTGGAACCCTGAAACCTGGAATTGGGACATCTGGTTGGCCTCAGTTGCAGCTGACAATCAAGAAGCCCTCGGTCCCTTTGAGACTCCCTCCTGTGTCTGGGGGACTGGTGTTCTCTTGCTTGAGGACTGTGTCATTACCTCGCTGGGGGCGGGTGCCTTGCAAGGAGACACCGTTGTCCTCCAGACCCTCTGCAACCACCCCCTGTTGCCATGAGACCCATAACTACGTTCCAATCACAGCATGCCCACAAAGTGTGGCCCAGGAGGAAACAGCGCACACATCAATAAAAATTTCCAAGACGTGACGTATATCTACCAGCTGAACCCTATTTGCACATGTGTGGGAGTGGATTTTCAATGCTTTAGACTAAGGAAGTGAGCTAGGATTCTAAACAGGGCTGGATTCACTGATAAGGGTGCACTTACCTGAGGTTCCAGACTGAATGTGTTAGTGCGCATAGCTGGTCCAAAATCTAGTACCTCACTTGGTTGGTTGACTGAAACCTGGACTCACTGGTGGGCTGCTGTTCATAGGTTTCAATGCCAGAGCTGCCCTGGCATGAGGTAGAGGAATTTTGGAGTAGATTGTTCACAATCGGCCTGAACTTCCCACCCCTTCAACTGTTTTCTATGGGAAGGTCCAGAAGCAGCTCTTTGCAGTGAGGTGTTGAGAGCCATTAGAGCAGGAATACCTGCATCTTTGAAAAGCTGTGAAAACATTGGTGTCTGTAAAAATGAAACAGATGGCCTGCTGCAGCACTGCTTGATGTATATAACTCTGAAGGCTCTAGGTCTGGGAGCCAAAAACCTGACTTGAGTTGCCCCATTGGAGAGTCATAGCCTCTCACCCAGTTTCCAGACCCAGTGCCCCCAGATGGAGGGAAGGTCCTCTGGGAAGGACTCTGCACCATTGCTGGAAGTATACACCACAAATCTTCCCAAACCTTCCCAGTGGGACCTGTGGCCGTTTATTAAAGCAACAGTTCTCCCGGAGAATAGGTTTGCTCAAGCAGGGTTCCCTCGCTGGCAGGCCACACCTGTCAAGTTACATGGGGAAGACTTTGTTACCGTCGTGGTGTCCCCACTTCTGGAAACATGGCACTTCTGGTGGACACTTAGATCCTTGGTGACTTGAGCACTAGCCCTGCCCACCTCTCTAGATACTCCTCTTGCGTGTGTGTTTGGTGGGGGATCTAGGCTTTATAGAGAGCCGCCCCCGACACACAGGAGGGGCTGAAACACAGTGGGCGGGGCAAGGAATGTGCGGGGGGGGGGGGGGGGGGGGGGGGGGGGGGGGGGGACAGGCGGGTGCCACATTTTGGGTCCCTGTAGGGTGGAAGCTCCCAGGAGCGCGGAGCAAGGCAGCTTTCAGAGGCCAGGACTGGAGCATGGTCGCAGGAGTGACAGTGCCCTTTGCCACCTGAGTGGCTTTACCACCCTCCTTCTCTCCTTCTCTAAGACACCCTGAGGAGCAGAAATCTTTTCTCTGCCGGGACAGTGTGTGTGGGGCGGGCTCAACAGTGCTCACGGGGTCTCCTGGGCCCCGGGTCTCAGTGGAGGCGTCTTCTCAGCCTTTCTCAGGTGAGGGCCGACTGCCCGGGACCTCCGGGGAACGGGGACACGGAGCACGGCTCACAGCAAAAGGCCTACTGCAGACTCTTCGGTTAGGACAGGGCGAACGGGGGGCGGGCCTCTCGCTCTGGCTTCCCTGTCAACAAAGGAACGCGGGACGAGGGTTCAGCATAGCGCGTCCCTGCCGGGCCCTGGAGCCCAGAGGGAGGCACAGAGGGCGTGTCCCGGGCCCCGCGACTCTCGGGAACACGAGCGCGACCATGAGCCCCACTCGGGAGTACTTTGCTTCTTTCAACTCTAGGAACATACGCCTTTCATAGTTACGGCAAAGCCTCGGGCACGAGTTCTACGCCCAAGATGGCCAGCCGGAAGCGGGCTTCTCGTGCGGATGTGGCAAGACCCCATTTGTCAGCTTGCCGCCCGCGACAGGGTGCACAGCCGCCTCCCCGCTCTGCGCAAGGGCCCGGCCACGCCCGCACGCAGGCGCAGGGCGCCTCTGCGTCTATGGTCAGGAAGTGACAGAGCGTCCACCCGCCTTCGCCCGGACTCTATGGTTCCTACGCGCGAAGATAGACCGCCTATATAAGGCATGCGCAGGGGAGAGAGCGCCTTTTTCCCACCGGCGCGGTGAGTAGTTGTTGGTCTGAGCTTATGTGGTGCGGTTGCCGGTTCTCTCCTTTGGTTTGAGGCCTGTCCCCCTTTTCTCTTCCGACTTTCTTTGTTTCGTTTCAGCCACTGAAGATCCTGGTGTCGCCATGGGCCGCCGCCCCGCCCGATGGTGAGTGCCGTATCCATGCAGTTTTGCTGCCGGGAAAAGGGAGGGGAGAACTCCCTTTGGCCTCTAAAAGCAATCGTGGGATGGGGCGGCTTTCCGGTCGTGGGAACAGCCTCTACGTTTTCCCCAATGTCTTCCAAGTCGCTTTAGGTCTTCGTTTATATAATCTGTTTCTTTGAAAGCTCATGCCCCTGTTTAATGCTTCCCCCATTTTGTTGGCGTGGCCGGTTGACCCTGGACTGCATGTGCCGTGGCAGTTTTGGACTTGAAGTGACGTCCACCTTGCATCCCGCCCTCTGTCTTGGAAGTTAGTCGCCTTTTCAGGCTCGATGCCCTCTCGGGGCCTTTGTGTGCCATCTCCGTTTTATTTTTGGGCGACATGCCGTGTGGTGGTCTGGGACTCCAGCGGCAGTCCGGGAAAATCGGGCTCAGGCTTATGTGCCCTGCAGGGGGCGCCTGGAGCCCATCACGTGGCTCGGAGGCGGGTTTAATACCACGTGCTCAGGTCTTTAGGTGGATGGCATGAACTGTGCCATTAGGCAGCAAATTTGTAGTATGCGGTGCCTTGAAGGGAGATTTTTTTTTTAACTGGACAAGTCTATTTCAAAGTGTTGGCATTAGAGCGGGTTAAAAACCCGATAGGGAGTAAGGAAGATGTTTTTGCTTTCGTGTTTCTAGCATGGATGTTCTCCACCTTTTCATCACCTCGTTCAGACCGTGTCTTGCTTTAGAGCCAATTTCTAGGAATGGGCCTCCTTAGAGATTGACATATTTCACCCCCCCTTTCCCAGCCCTACTTTGGTCTTAACTTGAGGGAACACTCAAAGTACCTATTGTCGAGTTCACTTGTGGACCCCTGCAAACTTGGGTTTTTCCTCCCCTGCAGTTACCGGTATTGTAAGAACAAGCCATACCCAAAGTCTCGCTTCTGCCGAGGTGTCCCTGGTAAGTAGTGGAAGAGCTCCCAAACTGATTTGGCTGCACTGACCTGGTTGCCTATGCGGCCCCCCCCCCCACACACACACTTACTTGAGGTTTTTTCAGACGCCAAGATTCGCATTTTCGATCTGGGGCGGAAGAAGGCAAAAGTTGATGAGTTCCCACTTTGTGGCCACATGGTGTCTGATGAATATGAGCAGCTCTCCTCAGAAGGTGAGGCAGGATTCTTTGCTAATCACGTGTAGTCTCTTCTATATACTCTCCCAGTCGGACTCAGAGCACTCTACTGTAATTACCAGTTCATTAATCATGAGCACCCAATTGTAAACCTCTTTGCAAAATTCAGCTGGCCAATACAGATGTCCCCAGAGCCAGGGAGGGCCATGGTAAGTACTTGTGTGCCGTTGTGTCTCATTCTGCCTGCCTTTCCCTCTACTTAGCCCTGGAGGCTGCTCGTATTTGTGCCAACAAGTACATGGTGAAAAGCTGTGGCAAAGATGGCTTTCACATCCGAGTGCGGCTCCATCCCTTCCATGTCATCCGCATCAACAAGATGTTGTCCTGTGCTGGGGCTGACAGGTGAGCTGGGTCCTGGTTCTTAGCTTTTTTAGTTATTTTCTCATAACTTGAGGCCTCTGGCTTGATTTTTTTTCCCATCAGTTAGGGGAAAGAGGTGGCCCCACATAAAGACTCAGCCACCCATAGCAAAGCCAGGCCAAGGGCTGACAGGTGTATTTCACTGGACGCTTTCCCCTCACCACTACATAGATGAACAGAACTGACTCCCAGAAACAAACACAGAAGGCATCATGGCTAAGCAGCCTCTGGGCAGCGGGTGGAGGGAGGTGGCTCTGAGGGAGTAGCTCCTCTTGCTGTGAAACTGATGACAGTCTGCCAGCAAGCAGGTAGGTTGGGTGCTCACAGTTTGGAGAGCTTTCATTAGTCTGTTTTTTGGTCTTTTCTGTTTGGGGGTTCTCTGTTCTCTGCAGCCAATTAAGCCGACCGGGTCCTTTTCCCCATGGGGGCCCGGTGTGCACTGGCTGCAAACAGCAGCCTCCTTGGTAGTGTATGCAGCCTGTTGCTTGTATGGGTTGCCCTAAGGGACCTTGGAGACAGCCCTTTCCAGTGGACATTTCATGTCGGATGCTATCCTCAATCTAGGCTCCAAACCGGTATGCGGGGTGCCTTTGGAAAGCCCCAAGGCACAGTGGCTAGGGTCCACATTGGCCAAGTCATCATGTCTATCCGCACCAAGCTGCAGAACAAGGAGCATGTGATTGAAGCCCTACGCAGGGCCAAGTTCAAGTTCCCTGGCCGCCAGAAGGTAAGTAGTGCTGCAGCTTTGGTCGCATCTTTTCTTGCTCTAGTCCTCGGGCCTCCTGACTCACCTCTGTGTCTCTCTCCCTAGATTCACATCTCGAAGAAGTGGGGCTTTACTAAGTTTAATGCAGATGAATTTGAAGACATGGTGGCTGAAAAGCGGCTCATCCCAGATGGCTGTGGAGTTAAATACATCCCTAATCGTGGCCCCCTGGACAAATGGCGAGCCCTGCACTCATGAGAGCCTCAGCACTGCCCTCTTCTTACTCATGCCCATCAATAAATCCTACTTACTGTTCATCTGTCTTTGCATCTGGATTCATGCCAGCAGAGCCTCTGGGAACCCTAGGGTCACTGTCCCTTCTTCAGAAAAAGGCTGACAACTAAGCTGGCCAGCTGTCACTTTATTACCAGTGAGGGAACAAACCCAGAGCATGGGCTAGGACTAGCAGCCTCTCTTAAGTTGCCTCTTGGGAACATTGACTCAGACCCGCCTCCATCAGATGCTGTAGGTTCACAGTCCCCTTTTGAGTTGTTAAGCAATCTCCTTGACTCACTGCTCTACCCACCCCCACCCCCCAACTTCTAGGGCCTTACTCGCAGGGCCCTCTCCACCACTGGCCAGTGTCCACCCTCACACCAAGCTCCCACAGCTGAATTGGCCCATAGCACTTGGCAGCAAGAGGCCTTTGGGCAAACAGTGCGTAGCCCTCCTTGGCCTAAGGATCCCCATGTGCTGTCTGGTGCCCCAACTGTGCCAGGGCTACTCTGCTGCAAGAGCAATGGTAGGACTCCAGTGTTCTAGGGGAGCAGCAAAGAGGCCTGCAGAGCTCTGCTAGCCAGGGTGGCCTGAGGCTGTGCACCTGGGAGAAGACAGCGAAGGGATCTGATTCCAGGACTACGCATGGTGGGGAGAGCTGCTCCAGTCTGCTGGCTGCTCCCCAGGCAGGCCTCCATGCGGAGCTTAGTCCCCATGGCCCCTCAGGCCTCTGGCTTTTTGTGATTTTTACCTACAGCCATTTTTTTTCTTTTAAAAGGCTTCTTATTAAGTTTTGTTTTCGTTTTTATAACGGTTGGCCCTGAGCTAACATCTGCTACCAATCTTTTCTTTTTTCTTCTCCCCACAGCCTCCTGGTACATAGTTGTATATTCTAGTTGTAGGTTCTTCTAGTTGTGCTATGTGGGACGCCGTGTCAGCATGGCCTGATGAGCAGTGCTAGGTCTGCGCCCGGGATCCAAACCTGCGAACCCCAAGTGTCTGAAGCGGAGCGCATAAACTTAACCACTTGCCACGGGGCCAGCCCCTATAGCCATTTCTTTTTTTTGAGGAAGACTAGCCCTGAGCTAACATCTTGCCAATCTTCCTCTATATGTGGGATGCCTGCCACAGCATGGCTTGCTAAGCAGTGCCATGTCCGCACCCGGGATCCAAACCGGCGGACCCCCAGGCTGCTAAAGTGGAACGTGCTCACTTAACTGCTGCGCCACCGGGCCAGCCTCCCTACAGCCATTTCTAAAGTTTAAGATTTATTTCTTACCTCAAAAATGATGGTTTTAAGCCATAAATATGATAATTTGTGCTTAAGCAGCCCTGATGTCCTGCTATGTTTTTACTGAGCTCTGTTCTCTGGAAAATGGAGCTGGGGAAGGGAGGGTCCCGTGACAGCAACAACCCCATGTGGGCTGGTTGTGAATGTTTGGCCGACTCCCCCACCCTGGAGTCCGTCTCCCTAAGAGTGTGCTCTGGTAGATGCTTTAGTTATAGATCTCTTCTGCGTGCACCTGTACCCTTGGTAACCAGCCTCCTCCAGGCTCCCTCCTACCCCAAGCATGTGCCAATGCGGACTGACAGCACCCTAAGTGGCGGGGCCAGGCCACACAGTGGTTATGAACATGGGCTTGACTGCAGGCATCGGGACTGTTTGCAACTATTTTCATTCACTGGATTGCAATGAGAAACATTTCGTTCCTTAGTTACTCTGCGCATGTGCGTGTGTAATCTGCTTCTCTCCATCCTTGTATCTACTGTGGTCTTAATATTTTCTTGATTCATATGTACAATAAAGATGGCCCTCTGACATATCTGCTACACATATGTAATATCCCCACCAATCTAGTTTTTTGTTCTCAGTGTATGTGTAAATTTACTTTTTGTCATGTAATAAAATCTTTTTGATCTGTTGGGATTCCCTTTTCTGAGTCCTGCAAGAATCAGGAGTTTAGCCGAGATCACCTCCTAAGCCCTCTCTTCCCCTCCCCAAGCCCTGGAGCCTCCTTTATCTCCACTCCTGATAACTACCTGGGGGAAGAGGAGCATGGCTCCAGCCTCAGGGCCCCTGCCTTCCTCGTCTTCCACATTCTCATGCCAGGCACAGGCCCAACCAAAGAACATAAGCCAAACCAAAGAAAGGGCAGATGGAGGAGGGCTGGGCCGGGCTGCAGTCCAATGGAGGAGGGCTGGGCCGGGCTGCAGTCCAATGGAGGAGGGCTGGGCCGGGCTGCAGTCCAATGGAGGAGGGCTGGGCCGGGCTGCAGTCCAATGGAGGAGGGCTGGGCCGGGCTGCAGTCCAATGGAGGAGGGCTGGGCCGGGCTGCAGTCTGACGGGACAGGGCTGCAGTTGAGGCCCTCAGGAGTCACTTGGGCCCCAGCACAGGATGGACAGGGAGGCCGGGGTTTGAGTCCTGAAGGCAGTGTAGTCATCACATCTGTGGGCAGCAGGCATTGGGCAGTTTCAGGCCACTAGGTCCAGCTGAAGGGGCAGGAGTGGCAGCAGCAATGATGGCAGCAACAGAACGGCCAGGCCAAGGGGCTGAACCCTGCACACCGCCTGGCTCAGCTCCACCTCCACAGGGTAGTGGTCGCTGATGTTGAGAGCCTGGGGATGGGCGGTGGGACAAAGTGTTAGTGTCAGGGCTGAAGGACTTCCCGCTGACCCCATTCCTTCCCCACCCCTTTACTTCCTCCTCGGTGAGCTGGAACCTCCTGGGGAAGTCAAAGGTGGCCGCGGCATGCAGCAGGCTCTGGCAGCGCTCCCCGTGCAGCACGATGCGGTCATAGGTGCAGTGGGTGCTGGCCCGCACCGTGGTGTCCTCTCCATCAGCAATCGCCCAGTGGAAGCCTGCCTGAGTCCGCAGCACCAGCTCCCCCAGGTGCTTTTTGTTCAGCGAAGCGCAGTCAGCATTGAAGTCCCCAAGCAGGATCACATCCTGGAGAAGGGGACAGCAGTTGGGCCCAGCCACCTAGCTAGCCATCCTGTCCTCATCCCTCCCATGCAATCTGTCCAGTCCTACCTTGCTCTGCCAGCGCTGGGAGACATCCAGAAATACGTCGTAGAGGGCGTTCAACTCCTTCTCTACATCCTTCGGAGTGGTGTGCAGCGGGACCAGCACCAGGCTGGGAAGGACTGCGAAGCCCCAGGGATGGAGGGCTCCCACCCACTCCTGGCCCTTCTCTGCCCAGCCTCCTGCGGGTAACCAAGCCCCTGGGAGAGCCAGCCAGATCCCCTTCCCCCACCCACAGAACAGGGCCACCCTTCTTCCCCTCCTACCCTTGCTAGGCAAAGTGAACTGGGCTACAAAAGGCTCCCGGGCAAAGAGGTCATCCTCATCATTATACAGGTAGTGATCCAGGGCCCGTGTCTTGTGGGACCTGGGGAACCAAGGGACAGGAAGCAGAGGCCCCACGTCAGTGATTTTGGTTTGCAAGTGCCAATATCAAAGCTGGCACTCAGGGAAGGGGCCCTCCATCAGCAGCCCCATTTCATGTGGGCACAGCCTTCCTAGACTTTTTCTCTAGAACTTTTTTTATTGAGATATAATTCACACACCATGAAATTCACCTGTTTAAAATGCACAATTCAGTGGTGTTTAGTACATTCACAAGGTTGTGCAACTATCACCACAATCAATTTTAGAATATTCTTATCTCCCCAAAAAGAAACCTTGTACCCATTAGCAATCACTTTCCATTCCCCTCCTCGTCAGCCCCTGGCAGCCACTGATCTGATTTCTCTCTCTGTAGATTTGCCTATTCTGGACATTTCATGTGAAAGGAATCAAATAGTATGCGGTCTTCTGTGTCTGACTTTGTTCCTTTAGCATCAATTTTCAAGGCCCACTCATGCTGCAGCATGGGTCAGGACTCCATTCCTTCCATCCTGTGCAGAGACCACACACACAAACCTTCACCAGCTGATGGACACTTGGGCCATTTCCACTTTGGGGCTGTTATAAGTGATGCTGCTATGAGCACTCCTGTATGGATGTGTTTCTGTTCCCCTGTTATTTTATTTTATTTTTTTTGCTGAGGAAGATTAGCCCTGAGCTAACATCTGTGCCAATCTTCCTCCACTTTATATGTGGGTCACCACCACAGCATGGCTGACAAGTAGTGTAGGACTGACTGGGATCGGAACGCACAAACCCGGGCTGCCAAAGTGGAGTGCACCAAACTTAACAACCACTAGGCCACAGGGCCGGCCTCCCCTGTTATTTTTGTGTTTTTTTTTTTTTTTTTTGAGGAAGATTAGCCCTGAGCTAACATCTGCCGCCAATCCTCCTCTTTTTTGCTGAGGAAGACTGGCCCTGAGCTAACATCCATGCCCATCTTCCTCTACTTTACATGTGGGATGCCTGCCACAGCATGGCTTGATAAGATGCCTGCCACAGCATGGCTTGATAAGCGATGTGTAGGTCGGCACCTGGGTTCCGAACTGGTGAACCCCAGGCTGCCAAAGTAGAACATGTGAACTTAACTGTTGCACCACTGGGCCGGCCCCTCCCCTATTATTTTGGAGTGAATTCTAGACATCGTATAAGTTCATCTATATAGAGAAACAGGTCTCCTTCTCTGACCTCTGGATCCTGACCCCAAAGGGCCTTCCCCCAGGCTGTCCTCCCAGTAACTTAGGACTGTTTCTGGAAACTAGGTCTGCCCAAGGACCACAATGGGCCCCTGTTGAGCCTCTTCCTAGAAGCTGCAGCCAGCCGCTCCCAAAGAGGGGGCCAGCCTCACTCTAAGCCCCAGTGGCTTTTACAAGAGAGAGGCAGAGGGGCTCCACATCTGTGCATGGAGAAGGAAGGCCTCCTTCTGTAGGGACACATGGGCACCAAAGCTGGCTGGGGTGGAGAAGAGGAAGATCCCAGAATAAAACCATTGAGGAGAAAGAACACGATGAGAAGGAAGCTGGCCACTGTCTGTGCTTACCGGTAGATGTACACGTACTGCTCTTTGTATGTGCTGCGCCCCAGCGGGGGGCTGCTCAGGAAGTCATAGGGCCCGGAGCCATCAAATCTGCCAGAAAAGGGGAACCCAGGGTCAGGAGCCCCGAGGCTCTGGGGTAGGGCCTCAGATTACACCCACAGAGCCGTCCTCACCGCTTGAGTTCTCGAAGCAGCAAGGGGATGGCACTGCCAGAAGAGTCCACCACCTCCTGCAGCACCATGATGTCACAGCGAGCCAGGATCTGCAGGATACCAGGAAGGCCAGCCCCACTCAGTGCCAGCCACCCTGGGGGGGGGGGTGTGGTGTTCCTGGGGAAATGGCACTGGCGTGGCCAAGAGTATCATGTGGTGCCAGCTTCTACCCACAGAGAGCAGTGGGGACTAGAAAGAGCCTGGGAGAGGATTGAATGCCATCCCTACCCACACTGCACCCATTTTACAGAGGAGGAGATTGAGGCTAAGGACAGGGAAGGAATGTGCCCCATGTCTCCACACCCATGTCTCTTGATGTCTCCTCTTCTCTGGAACATGCCCCTGATCAGGCAGGGCTGGGGGCTTTGGGTCACGGCCCTTAGGGGTGCAGCTTCCCTGCAGTGATGAACCTACCCGAACTAAGGTGTCCATCACATGTTCCCTGGCCACCTTGGCAAGCGTCAGCCGCTGGGCGTTGAAGGCACAGATGCGAAAGGCCTCCGCCCCACCGGCCAGGAGGAGGAGCAGGAACACAGCGGGGCAGTGCATGGCTGTGTGCGGGCTGCTGGGACCCTCCAGAGGAATCCAGGTCACCACAAGGTACAGTCCCAGCTGGACTCAGTTCTGGTTCCAGGACATGATAATACGGGACAGAGAAAGTGATGTTCATCCTGCTGCCCAGCACCAGTCTCCCAGAGCTGCCAGTGTTGCAGATGTCCTGCCTTCCTTCCTGGGGACACCTTCTGACACTGGCACGTATGGCTTGACCTCATTCTTTTTAATTGTGGTAAAATACACAGAGCATAGAATTTAGCATCTTAACCACTTTTAAGACTACAGTTCAGGGGCATCAAAGTACATTCACATTGCCGCGCAGCCATCCCCACCATCCATCCCCGGAACTTTTTCGTCTTCCTGAGCTGAAACTCTGTCCCCATGAAACACTAACAACACTAACTCCCCTTCTCCCTCCCCTGGCACCACCCCCCTGCCCCAAATCCTCCTTTCTGTCTGTGCTTTCGGGACTTCATACAGGTGGAACCATATGATATCTATCCTTTTGTGACTGGCCTATTTTCCTTAGCATAATGTCCTCAAGGTTCATCCATGTTGTAGCACGTGTCAGAATGTCCTTCCTTTTAAGGTGGAATAACATTCCATTGTGTGGATGGGCCAAATTTTGTTTATCTATTCATCTGTTGATGGACGTCTGGGTTGCTTCCACCTTTTGGCTACTGTGAATCATGCTGTGAACATGGGTGTGCAAATATTGTTTGAGCCCCTTTCATTCCTTTTAGGTATATACCCAGAAGTGGAATTGCTGAATCATATGGGAATGCTGTGTTTAATTTTTTGCTGTTTCCCCACAGCAGCTGCACCATCTTACATTCCCACCAGCAGTCCACAAGGGTTCAACCTCAGGGTTGATTCCAACTTTTCACCACTATTAGCATCTAGGAGGACCATCCTCGTGCATATCTCTCTCCCTGCTTGTGAGATATTATCTTTAAGACAAATTCCCAGCAGTAGAATCGCTGGGCTCAAGGGTGTATGCATGTAAAATGACCTCAGATACACCAAATCACCCCACTGTGGTATGTGATGGGACCCCTTTCTCACGCCCCCGCCACCAGCGGCAGCCGTTCTTGTTCGTCTTACCAACTGGAGCCCCTCTCTTCCTGAGCATCTCTCTCTCTCTCTCTCTTTTTTTTGGAAGATTAGCCCTGAGCTAACATCTGCTGCCAACCCTCCTCTTTTTGCTGAGGAAGACTGGCCCTGAGCTAACATCCGTGCCCATCTTCCTCTACTTTATATGTGGGACGCGGGCCACAGCATGGCTTGCCAAGCGGTGCCATGTCCGCACCCGGGATCCAAACTGGCAAACCCCAGGCCGCCGAAGCGGAATGTGAGCACTTAACCGCTGCACCATCGGGCCGACCCCTGAGCATCTCTCTTGGTTTATCTTTGTCTCAGGCTCACCCAGACTCTGCCCTATCTTTTGGGCTCAGCCCCTTGCTCCATTCCCTGTCCTTGTCACTTTCATTCAGTGACATAAGTCTCTGTACTTCTGTCTGCCGGCTTTTCTCTGTCACCTCATTGCCTTCCTCTTGGGCTCATGTTCTGCCTCTGTCTTTCTCTGCTCTCCCCGATCTTTGTCTCTGTCATTGCGTCTCTGTCCATCTCCTTCGCTCTCCGGGCTGGGCTCAATGCCTCTTTTTCCCTGGCCACCTGCTCTGTCACTCATGCTAGTTTGAGTCCCCTGCCCTGGTGCCTATTCTGGGACGTATGTGGGTATTTAGGCAGCCCTGAGCTGGCAACCGCAGGCTTGGAGGCCCAAGCTTGGAGGCCCTGGGGCCAGGGGCCCCCATGAGGGCCAAGGGCAAGAAGAACCAGAAAGTGACTGTTTCTGGCCTCAGCCCAAAGCCCAGCCCAGGCTCCCAACACCAGGCCTTGGCCCCAGTCCTGGGGTTCCCTTCCCTTCGTATCCCCCTCCCCAGGCTTGGGGCAACTTCCTCCCCACTTCTCCCCAGAGGGCTCCCATACCTGTGCAGACCAGCTTGTCTCCTTGCCTGCCTCGGCTGTAAGTGGATTGCAACAACCCACGGAATCCCAGCGCCTGCCTGGGCAGGGACTGGAGAGAAGGAAAGAGGAAGAGACTGTCCTCCTGACTCACCCATCACGTTACCACACGTCAAGGCCAGCCTGCTGCCCCACCCTTCCTGGAGGGCAGGGACTGAGGATCTGTCCCAGAGAGAAGGGAACTAGAGAGCTGGCAGCTCAGTGTCCCTTGGGGTCCTGCACTGTTGCTGTTGGGACAACTGGAGGACTCAGGCAGGGTCTTTGGTCAGGTGGTGGGTCTTCACTGGATGGTTGTAATGCTGTCATCAGGGCAATGTCCCTCTTGGTAGGACCTACGCACTAATGGATTGGGGATGGTGATGAGCAGAAGGTTAGAAAAATTTTGAAAGTCACTAAAATTATGCTTTAAAGATTAAAAAGACTGTTTAATGGGTACAGGGCTTTCTTTTGCGGTGACGAACATGTTCTGGAACTACTTAGAGATGGTGGCTGGCAACAGTGCAAACGTACTAAACGATATAAAAAACTATAACATATAATTTCCTATTATATGCTATATATTACATATTTCATCACATTACGTATTGCATACATATATACGTATAGTATAAATTTGCAATATTGTACTTATGTAAAATTACATCATCTAATATATAATATATAATGTATAACACTGTTATATACATAAGCTACTGTATATAATATAAAATGCTATAAAATAGTATGAAATGGTTAATTCTATGTTATGCGAATTTTTTTTTTTTTTGCTTTTCTCCCCAAATCCCCCCAGTACATAGTTGTATATTCAGTTGTGGGTCCTTCTAGTTGTGGCACGTGGGACGCCGCGTCAGCGTGGCCTGATGAGCGGTGCCATGTCCGCGCTAGGATCCGAAACTGTGAGACCCTGGGCCACCGCAGCAGAGCACGCGAGCCCAACCACTCGGCCACCAGGCCGGCCTCCTTGTCATGCGAATTTCACCTCAATAAAAGTAAAGGGGAAAAAAAAGACTAAAGTAAAAGCGCTCCACCTGGGGCCGGCCCAGGTGGCGCAGCAGTTGAGTTCGCACGTTCCGCTTCTCGGTGGCCCGGGGTTCGCCGGTTTGGATCCCGGGTGCGGACATGGCACCGCTTGGCAAAAGCCATGCTGTGGTAGGCGTCCCACATAGAAAGCAGAGGAAGGTGGGCACGATGTTAGCTCAGGGCCAGGCTTCCTCAGCAAAAAGAGGAGGATTGGCAGTCCTTAGCTCAGGGCTAATCTTCCTGAAAAAAGAAAGTGCTCTACCCGCCGCGACCTCCAGCGGTGTCAGCTAATCGTGCTGCCCAGCCCTGCTGCCCACCGAGACTTTTTGGGAGACGGATTAAGGACACAGGAACCGGCGCTTAAGACCAGAGCTGCGCAAGGGCAGGGCGGGACTCCGCGGCCCGCGGGCCCTCCCCCATTGCCGTCAAGCGGCTCGAGCGCGTTTTGCGACAGGTGGCGGGGGGGCGGGGTTCGGGCGCCGTCGCCGACTCGGTTTCCGGCGGGTGCGCGGGGTGCACCGCTATTGCTGCTGGCCCCTATCCCTCCTTGCTACGTCCTCCGGCTCCAGTGCCCGGTGGCGGCTCAGCTGTGGCGAGAGCGGGGCCGGGCCCGGCTCTGGCCTGACCTGCGAGGTGACCTTGGTCGAGGCCCCTGTCGCGCTGAGCCGCGGCGTCCGTCTGCGGCGCTGGCCTGTCAGGGACCTAGCTCTCGAGCGGTTGAGGACACAGACCTGGAGCGGCCCCACAGGCTGCCCGGTGGCAGAGGGAGCGCCGGGCCGCCGGGGGCGGTGGGAGGGAGCTCGCTCTGGGGGAAAGATGCCCCTACACGTGAAATGGCCCTTCCCCGCGGTGCCGCCGCTCGCCTGGACCCTGGCCAGCAGCGTTGTCATGGGCCTGGTGGGCACCTACAGCTGCTTCTGGACCAGTGAGTGTGCCTGAAGCCGAGGCAGGGTCGGCCACGGGTCTCCGCGCCCGGCTAGAGTTGGGGTTTGGGGTTGGGAGCGCTGGCCGGGCCTAGTGTGGGTCGAGGGAGCCCTGGGCTGTGGGAGAAGTCCAAGGCCCCCCACACTCCCTCTCTCCCCGCCAGAGTACATGAACCACCTCACCGTCCACAACAAGGAGGTGCTGTACGAACTCATCGAGAACCGGGGCCCAGCCACTCCCCTCATCACTGTCTCCAATCACCAGTCCTGCATGGATGACCCTCATCTCTGGGGTACCTGGACCACTGCGCTGGGCACAGGGAGGCAGGGACAGAACCTGGGATGGGGGCCAAACAAAGGCAGAACAAACTCTCTTTTTTTAAAAGATTTTATTTTCCCTTTTTCTTCCAAAAGCCCCCCGGTACATAGTTGTGTATTTTTAGTTGTGGCTCCTTCCAGTTGTGGCATGTGGGACACCGCCTCAGTGTGGCCTGATGAGCGGAGCCATGTCCACCCCAGGATTGGAATAGGTGAAACCCTGGGCCGCTGAAGTGGAGCACAGGGCCGGCCCCCAAACTCACTTGTCAGTGGGCTCTTCACATAGCTCTGGCACTCCTGTTTCTGGGGTGTCCTGCCTCAGGGCTGAAAATTTGATTTGTAGCTTCAGCATCCTCTCAGGGAACGTGATTTGGAGAGAGCCTAAGAAACTTGGAGGGAGCGAGAAAATGAGGAAATGGCTACAGGGCAAGGTCTGACAGATTCTTTACTCTGATGCACCAGACCTGTGGAACCCTCCATTCTCTAAACCGTTGAAGATCCCACAGAGTCTTGGGAACAAATCTGAGGATGATACGGTGTCCTGTTAAGGAAGCTCTGGGCTAGGGGCTGGAAGACCTGTGTCCTGGTTTCAGGTTTGCCCCAGACTGGATTTGTACCCTTCAACCAGCCTCATTTGGGAGCCTGGTCCCCCACCTAGAAGTTCCTGCTCTGCTGACTTCACAGGAAGTTGCTTGGCTCCAGTAACCTGGATGGCTGCATAGAAGGGTGCTCAGGGCTTCCACCACTGAATGCAGGACATTAGACTATCTTAAAGCTCACGAGGAGCCACCGGGTCAAATCGGAGCCTTTCAGAGTTCACCCTGGCCATTGGGCAGAGAATGGCATGTAGGATGCCACAGGCGGGTCCTAGGAGGCCAGGAAGGAGGCTTTGGAGCCGTCCAGTAGCCTGGACTAGGGTGACGGCAGTGATAATGAAAGGAGAGGTATAGACGAATAGGCAGTGTTAAAATCTATCAGAGATGTAAGCAGACCAGATGTAGTGACTAAAGATATGGGAGATGAGAGAGACAGAGGAGCCAGGGAGAATTTGAGGTCCAGCCCAAGGGTCTGCAAGGTGCCACTTTGGGCCATAGGAAAAGGTAGTGCTGCTGACCTTGTTCCCCATTCCCTGAAAGAGGGTGACAGAAAAAGGTGCTCCCTAAAGACAAGCTAAGTTAGGGCATGAAGGCTTTTCTCTCCTTCTCTAGGGATCCTGAAACTTCGCCACATCTGGAACCTGAAGTTGATGCGTTGGTGAGGAGGAATGGGCCCCTTGCAGTGGGCCCAGCAGGCCTCACCCGTCTCTGCCCAGATTTGCCTTCTTCCTGCTCTGCCCAGGAGGTGGCATCCAGCGGTCTAGGCAGGGCAGGGAGTGGGGCCCCACCCTGCAGGCCCTCCTGTGCCTCCATTCTGCATTGCCGATGATGCCAGGCATCATGCTGAGGGGAGGGTAGGGAAGCAGGGTGCAGGTGAGGCAAGGATGACTGTATCTGTCCCCACTCCAGGACCCCTGCGGCTGCAGACATCTGCTTCACCAAGGAGCTGCACTCCCACTTCTTCAGCTTGGGCAAGTGTGTGCCCGTGTGTCGAGGTGAGCTGCTCCTCTGGGAGGCCCTAGTGGGCCATTGGCTGTGGGGAGGTGCTTTTGGGGCTTCTCTGGCCTCCTTTGGGGCAGGGAGGAGGTAGCCAGTGCCTCTGGCTTGGCAGCACGGGACGTGGAGGGACCCAGGTGGGACAGGCAGCCTGGGAGCAAGGGGAGCCAGGGACCACTGCCCCACTAGCGTGAGGCCCAGATCCACTGCATGGCAGCAGAGGTGGCAAGTGGCTAGTGGAGGAGCCATGGCTTCTTGGAGAGTGCTCAATTCTCTGCAACTGCCTGAGGATTGTATGAACCTGGAGCTCTGGCATTAGGGTCAAAGAGGCATTATCCACAGCCCCTTCATGCAAGGATGTTGCTAACTCAATGGTGGCAGTGTGGTATCACTGGTCTTTGATGGTGGTGGCATGTGTCAGAGGCTGCAGGGTTTGGGAGAACAAATAGGCTTGTGGGGTGAGGGATGTGACATTGAATGACTAAGCACATCTTGAGAGCCTCAGGAGGCAGGGCCCATTTTGATCCCCATTTTCCAGATAAAGGGGCTCAGGGATTAAACTGCTGGCAAGGTCACAGGGCAAGAGCTGGCAAAGCCAGGATTTGAATCCAGGTTGCTCTTTCCTCTGGGGAAGTAGAATTTTTCCAGGCAGAGTATGAAAGGAAAGGTGTTCGAGACATGGGAAGGTGTGCCAGGCACTAGAGAGGTATGCGATAAAGGTAGAAGATGTAGGTTGCGGGGCTGGCCCAGTGGCACAGTGGTTAAGTGCGCACATTCCACTTTGGCAGCCCGGGGTTTGCTGGTTCGGATCCCGGTATGGACATGGCACTGCTTGGCACACCATGCTGTGGTAGGCGTCCCACATATAAAGTAGAGGAAGATGGGCACGGATGTTAGCTCAGGGCCAGCCTTCCTCAGCAAAAAGAGGAGAATTGGCAGCAGATGTTAGCTCAGGGCTAATCTTCCTCAAAAAAAAAAAAAAAGAAAGAAAGAAAATGTAGGTTGCAGGCCAAATGTGAGGGTTCTGGAATAATCATGTTAATCATTTTATTTTATTTTATTTTATTATTTTTGGCTGAGGAAGATTGGCCCTGAGCTAACATCCATTGTCACTCTTCCTCTTTTTGCTGAGGAAGATTCACCCTGAGCTAACATCTGTTGCCAGTCTTCCTCTGTTTTGTGTGTGAGCCACCATCACAGCATGGCCACTGACAGATGTGTGGTGTAGGTTTGTGCCCGGGAACCAAAGCTAGGCCGCTGAAGCAGAGCATGCCAAACTTAACCACTAGGCCATGGGGCTGGCCCCTGTTAATCATTTTAGACTGTGCTGTCTTGTGAGGGTAACGATGTGCTTTCGTTTGTGCTTCAGAGAGAGAGCACCCTGGCTGCAGTGTGGCTGGTCAACAGAAGCGGGGCTGGGTGGAGGCAGGGAGCCCAGTTAGGGGTCATCCCAGTGCTTCTGGCAGCAGAGGATTGTAGCTAGGCCTCTGAGGGTCATCGTGGAGAGTCAGAGAAGGGGCCTGCTTTGGG